TTGATAATCAGGCATTTAAATCAGGCAGGTAGCAAGTTAACATAATAAATGTCTTAAAAGAAATGCAATTTACTTCTTTTTTTTAATGTTAAATGGAGCTGGAGGAGATGGAAGGGATTGAGCAGAGTCTTTGCATAATTTCCCTAAGATCCTATAGCTAGAGCAATGTGTTGTCAACCTAAAGAGCTGTGGGCAGAGCTGGTTATGACTTTTCCCTGAAAGGGCTATCAGGGTAACAACATCTACACCAGCAGTAAGGGTAACAACACTGCAGCATTTTCACTGCCGAAGGAAGAACATTGTACAGTATTTAAAAAAAGTGCCCACCTAATGGTTCTTCTGGTAGGATCAAAATATATTTACAAATTGTTCCAGGGGGTACTTGGCTTATTTGTATGGACAGTCTATACCACTTTTGCGATTTTATAGTATACTAACTGAAATGAGTACATACTACCAAAACTCTATCACAGATATTTTTCATATTTTGGTAAACAATTACAGAACAAGTGGGGTAAAGCCCCTTTACAATTTAGCCCCTGCCTTGAAGACTTGACAGATTTCATGAGTTCTATCTCTCTGTCTATTATTATCTCCTTCCCATATCTTAACTCTGATATCAACTGTCAAATAGTCATTTGTACTAGACATTTTAAATGTGAAGACATCAGCAACATGTCAGCTGGATGATTTGGTGACAGCAGCAATAGCAATATCATATATAATCTCCATTAGGCAGGGGATACCAGAAACTGTTATAGTCAGCATATGTTGTTAATTTCATAATGTAATTCTCTGCTAAAGTAGCATTTCCCCTTAAATTTAATTCAAAATTCTGATTGCATATTGGATTTATCATACTTTTTTATTTAGAAACCCAGTTATAGATATTGTGATGCTTCAAAATCTGCAAAATAATGAAATAAAAGGGAAAAAGCTGCATCATTGATTTAGAATTAAACAATGGGTTGAAAACCACACATATATCATTAAGTGCATAATCGAAAAAGGCTGACAAGCTTGATCTATGCTATTTTTCTGTGTTTGAATTTTCATCCAATCCATTCCTCTCTGAATCTGCTCCCCTTCCCGATGCTAACTGACTACCTCGAGGCAATGCACAGGGTTCTCCGGCAGATCTGTATTTCATCTTTTAAACAACCATCTGTCAAACCCAGCAGCAAATAAACTAGAATTGGTGTGCAAAACTCTGAAATGGTGCAGTTCATAAACTCTCTCAATAAAGCAATTTCTAAATGTTCTATCTACCATGAACCTGTTCTCTCGGGGATCAGTCCAAATATTTGTGTCATTAGTCTCTAATTATTTGCCGAGTTCATGAGTTTAATATGAAATATGTTGAGTTGTCTGCTTCATTCTGCAGTGGATTCTGGCTCAGGCTGTCCTTTTCTCGCAGCCAGGAATCCCATACTGTGAATGATAAAGCAACTAAAGTCTATGTGAATGGAGCTCTCCATTATAAATCAATTGCCAAAACCCATGCAACCATCCAGAAATGTTATTTGAGTCCAGTCCCATGCAAATAATGCCATCCTTCTTGATCAATGCCAACATCTCTAAGGCATGGCCAAGCATGCCTTCAGTTCAGTGGTCCATCACCATTTTTGGTCCAAAACTCTAACAATTTATCCTGGCCTACTGAACAACCTAAAGGTAATTAATCACCTTCCAGAATAATCATACTTTTATCTACCTAGTAGTAGAATAAAATAATAAACATGCCTTGTCCCAAAAGAGATGTGTGGATTTTAAACAAGATGTTAAATTAAAAAGTAAATCTGAATTTGATCTTCTGTTTTTATTGGGTACCAGAATGTTGAACCACCCAAGCAGCTCTTGCACATGGTTATTGAGGTCTACTTCTGCTCCCTGGCTACCTTAAAATCCCTGGCTGGTGCATTATGCAAATTGTGATACTGTCTAGTAGTGTTAGGAACTTAATTGTACCCTTCTGCTTCCTTCACCTCTCCTTTAGTTTATTAGCATAATGGGTGACCTTATTGGCCAATGAGAAGGTACAGGGGAACTGAGAGGCAAGAGAGCTGTTGACACCACTGGTGTTAAAATAAGCATATTACAGAACCCTCGGGATTTAGTGAATATAAATACATCTTGGTGGCTGCATTGAAGTGTTGCAACATTTTTAGTGTCTTATTTAGTGTCTTATTTTACTGACAGGTGTATCCTAAATTGCAGATTTTATTTATTTTTTTCCAGTTCTGAAGCTTTAAAGTGCACCAATACTTAAAAAGAGAAGACTTGATACTCTGTAGGGAACATCTAGAACCCGAGTCAGAGTTAGAGCTCTCTATTCAGCAAAGCTCATGCTCCCTGCTAATTGGAGAGCTCTAGCTTTTATTCACAGGGGGTGTGTTGGACCTTTACAGGCAGATTATGGCTTCCACACAACATGCTGGCCAGGGCTCTATAGGTTGTGGCTGCTTTATACAGAAGACAAATTGTGCATTTTTGCACACCCTTGTATTAATGTACTGGAATGTATTTGGCTTATTTAAAGGACAAGTTCACTTTATGTGAACTTTATGTCAGACAGTGGTGGGGGTAGGGGATATAAGGCAAAAGGAATGAGGTAGAATGCTTAGCTCACTTTATATGGTGGAGGAGGACACTGCTCTCCCATATTTAACATCTTGTGAGAAGGCAATTGCTAGTCCTGGTACATACCATGTTGCATCACTTTGTAAACCATGGGGCTCTATGTTCTGCCTTATTGCAAATTATTACATTTAATACCTCTCCTGATTTGCCTAATTAACCTTGTTCATTATGTGATCTTAGCATTTGTTGTTCTATGCTAGCATCATGTGGGTGTATGTTTGGGAACTGCTGACCATAATTAATTTGTTGGTTTAAGAAGGAAATGATGATAATATTTGACAGGTCACTAGTAATAGTTGTGTAATAACAAGAATATAAAACACATTAACTGAATTAATAAAATAGATTATTTTTATATATGCGTTGATATGTATTTTATTCTGGGAACTACTTTTGAAAGTGCCTTCATTAGAAAAATGTAATGCACCTTGACTATTTTTGCAATGATTGCATGAGTGTCATCCAACAAAAAAAAAAACTCATACAGCCTAAAATAATAAGTAACACTTACAGGTCTTGTTTACCCGCCATCTGTGACTGGACAGTGAAAGAAGGAGCAGCAAGCTGATGCTCATCTCTTTGTAACTCTGCTCTCTCCTCCTATTACCATACTTACTTCTTGTTAGCACATGATCAATGCAATGACATATGATAGAATCACACTGATCACAGGAATATGGCCTTCCTCACTGTATAACCGTAATGATTTCAGTAGTGTTGAAACTGGTAATCCTTTTCACAGGAACATCAGCCAGCTGAGTGATTAAAAAATAGGCTAATCAATAGTGTGGATGCTCATTGCCGAGGTGGTGTGCCACTGTGGGATGGTAAGAAGGATGGTAGGAGTTGGTCATGGGTGGATGAATCAACAGGGACTTCCTCCGATCTGATAGGCCTGCTGTGTAACGGTTGATCCACCACCACCTTGGCGATGAGGCAGACTAAGCATTCACACTATTGATGAGCCTGTTTTGTAATCACTAACATGTGAGTTGCCTAGCTACTAACTATTAAAGTTGTACTACAATCTGCACTTAGAGGCACTGTGTTTCTCTCTTGGTTACTTGTACCTTTTCTTCCTGGCCTAGTATGAGCTCTGCTATATAGGGGGTTTTCAAGTTGAATACGTGTACCTCCAATGTTTGCATTTAACAAGATAGATTAATTGATGTATTAAGGAATTTGGCATAATTTGTGTCTTTTATAATTGCCTGAAATTCAGCTTTACTGCTTGCTAATAATAAAAAACTAATTTACGGTACCTGCACATTTTTTATAAACAAATGTGGTAACATCTCTACTTCCCATGCAGGGATTCATATTGCTGGCTATAAGTGTGGTCCACACAGGGACAACTCTGATGCTCTGATGAATTAAAAAGTGTCAGAAGGATTCTGCAGCTTTATTTTAGCCTGACAACAATGGAACTGCCATGTGCACAATGCATATATTTACAGTAGTTATAATTGAGTCCAGGACCTTTGTACAGCAGTTCTACTAGTGACTTTTTCCAAATTACGCCACGGTGTGCACCTTCCCTTTACTGCATCCTCTTTGCTTCAAAGAGGAGAATACAATACAATAAAATGAAGCACATTTAGAAATATGCAATAGTTTATAAGTACACCCAAAGGCAAAACAATTTTTTAAATTAGGATAAGGTGGTAAGAAGCTAGAATTTCTGTCTGGTTAGTATTGCTATACAATCAAAATTTGTAATGGTCATTCAAAACACAGCTCTATACAGTATATCTATGATAATGAAAAATTAAAAAAAATATATATACCGTATTTTTTCGCTCCATAAGACGCACCTGACCATAAGACGCACCTAGGTTTTAGAGGTGAAAAACAAGAAAAAAAAAATATTCTGAACCAATGGACTGCAGACACAGTACAGGGGATGACCAGAGACTGAGGACACCGTACAGGAGATGACCAGAGACTGCGGACATTGTACAGGAGATGACAAGAGACTGCGGACACAGTACAGGAGATGACCAGAGACTGCAGACATAGTACAGGAGATGACCAGAGACTGCGGACGTAGTACAGGAGATGACCAGAGACTGCGGACACAGTACAGGAGATGACCAGAGACTGCGGACACAGTACTGGAGATGACCAGAGACTGCGGACACAGTACAGGAGATGACCAGAGACTGCGGACACAGTACAGGAGATGACCAGAGACTGCGGACACAGTGCAGGAGATGACCAGAGACTGCGGACACAGTGCAGGAGATGACCAGAGACTGCGGACACAGTGCAGGAGATGACCAGAGACTGCGGACACAGTGCAGGAGATGACCAGAGACTGCGGACACAGTGCAGGGGATGACCAGAGACTGCGGACACAGTGCAGGGGATGACCAGAGACTGCGGACAGTACAGGGAATGACCAGAGACTGCGGACACAGTGCAGGAGATGACCAGAGACTGCGGACACAGTACTGGAGATGACCAGAGACTGCGGACACAGTACAGGAGATGACCAGAGACTGCGGACACAGTGCAGGAGATGACCAGAGACTGCGGACACAGTGCAGGAGATGACCAGAGACTGCGGACATTGTACAGGAGATGACAAGAGACTGCGGACACAGTACAGGAGATGACCAGAGACTGCAGACATAGTACAGGAGATGACCAGAGACTGCGAACGTAGTACAGGAGATGACCAGAGACTGCGGACACAGTACAGGAGATGACCAGAGACTGCGGACACAGTACTGGAGATGACCAGAGACTGCGGACACAGTACAGGAGATGACCAGAGACTGCGGACACAGTACAGGAGATGACCAGAGACTGCGGACAGTGCAGGAGATGACCAGAGACTGCGGACACAGTGCAGGAGATGACCAGAGACTGCGGACACAGTGCAGGAGATGACCAGAGACTGCGGACACAGTGCAGGAGATGACCAGAGACTGCGGACACAGTGCAGGGGATGACCAGAGACTGCGGACACAGTGCAGGGGATGACCAGAGACTGCGGACAGTACAGGGAATGACCAGAGACTGCGGACACAGTGCAGGAGATGACCAGAGACTGCGGACACAGTGCAGGGAATGACCAGAGACTGCGGACAGTACAGGGAATGACCAGAGACTGCAGACAGTGCAGGGGATGACCAGAGACTGCAGACAGTACAGGGAATGTCCAGAGACTGCAGACAGTGCAGGGAATGACCAGAGACTGCAGACAGTGCAGGGAATGACCAGAGACTGCAGACAGTGCAGGGAATGACCAGAGACTGCAGACAGTGAAGGGAATGACCAGAGACTGCTGACCTTTGGGGAGGGAGGGGGAGCGGGTACCTGAATTTGACAGGTACCCGCTCCCACTTCAGTGGAGTTGTCCTTCCCTCTTCTTCCCGGGCCGGCTTCTGTGACAGCCGGGTGCCCACTGCGCATGTGCGAGAAGCGCTGCGATTTGTGAATGACCCGGCGCCTTCTGGGACCTTTCATGTGTCCCAGAAGACACCGGATTATTCACAAAGCGCAGCACATGCGCAGTGGGCACCCGGCTGTCACAGAAGCCGGCCCGGGAAGACTGTGCAGCGCTGGAGCGAGGAACAGGTAAGGCCTTGCAGGAGACAACAGCTGAGCGGCCGGCCCGGTATTCTGACATGGTGGCCGCAAAAATACCGGACCGGACCGGCCGCCTTATATTCGCTCCATAAGACGCACTGACATTTTCCCCCCTTTTTTGGGGGGAAAAAAGTGCGTCTTATGGAGCGAAAAATACGGTGTGTAACAAGGTGCTTGGTTGGAGACAGAGAGCGATTTAGGACACTGTGCTGCAGTGCTGTCTTTTCTCCTAATGGACTTCAGCTTAATGGGTTAACACTACCTCACCTCCATCCACCAGGGGGAACTGACAAGCAGAAGATGCTTAACTACTTGCCCTCCTGAGGATTTTGACCAGGCCTTTTTTTGCTGTTTGGCGCTGCACTAATTCAACTGATAATTGCACAGTCATACAATGCTGTACCCAAACAAAATTTACATCCTTTTTTTCATACAAATAGAGCTTTCTTTTGGTGGTATTTTATCACCTATGCGCTTTTTATTTTTTGTACTTTAAACAAAAAAAACACGAAAATTTTGAAAAATAACAATATTTTCTACTTCCAGCTATAAAAAAATATATCGTAAACTCAAAGTTAGTCATAAATTTAATCCAAAATGTATTCTGCTATATGTTTTTGGTAAAAAAAAATCCCAATAAGTGTATATTGATTGCTTTGTGTGAAAGTTATAGCATCTACAAACTATGGTATAGATACTGTAATTTATGCCTTTTTTGCTATACAGCGCTGCACTAGTTTAACTGACAATTCCGCGGTCATGCAATGCTGTACATAAATTAAATTTATGTCCTTTTTTTCCCACAAATAGAGCTTTCTTTTGGTGGTATTTGATCACCTGTGCACTTTTTATTTTTTGCGCTATAAACAAAAAAAAACAAAAAAGTTTGGAAAAAAAAAACGATATTTTTTTAATTTCTGTCATGAAAAATATCCAAAAATCTAATATTTCGTCAGAAATTTAGGTTAAAATGTATTCTGCTACATGTTCTTGGTAAAAAAAATCCAAATCTCCATTAACACTGTTGACACACACTTCGCAGCCCGGACCTTTCGCTTCCCTTGCTTCCCCCTTTTTTTTTTTTTTTTTTTTTTTTTTTTTTTTTGGCCTCTTATCCCCCCTTCTCCCTCTCCCCCTCCTCTCTCCCCCACCCCCTTTTTTTTTTTTTTTCTCCCCCTCTTTCTCTTCTCTCTCTCTACTATGACTCCCACTCTTTTCCTTTTCTTATTCTTTTCTTTCTTTCTATTCCCCTTTTTTCTTTTCTTTCTCGACAACCTCTTAGTCTTCGATCAGGCTTAGTCTTCATTTTATCCAGGATTACTTGGTGTATGGTTAGCTTATATCTTCTAGGATTGTCAATGGTACTGTCAGGGCTCCCAGGTATGACCAGAGGTGTGTGACTGAAGCAGGGAAACGCAGACCTCAGATATGTTATAAACAATATAATTTATTAACACTAACAGTACAAACATAAATGCAGTGCAATACTAAACATAATACGGTGCAAACAAACCAAACCAAACCACCCACAGATAACAGTATATACAAGCAAGCGTCGTCAGGCAGGCCGGGTCAATATCAATTGGGCAGGTAGGTACAGGGGGAGCAAGCAGAGAATGGTCGGGGTCACAGGCCAGGTTCAGCAGGTAGCAAGCAGCATAGTACAGAGGGTCAGGCAGAGGGATGGTCCGGGTCACAAGCCAGGGATCAGAACAGGTAGCAAGCAGCGTAGTACAGAGGGTCAGACAGAGGGATGGTCAGGGTCACAAGCCAGGATCAGAGCAGGAGAAGTCAGCAAAGGAACAGAAACAGGATGCAGGACAGATACAGGGCCCAGGACAAACACAACACCAAGGCAGAGTCTGCAAGTCTGGCCATCCCTTAAATACACCAGTATCATCAGTTCCAGGTGTTAGCTGGCTGAAAGGTTGAGTCTCTGATTGCTGGGAGCACCCGCTGGCCAGCCCTGGTACTGCAGATCAAAAGGCAGGTGAGTCCCACCATTGCTGGCCAGTCCATTCCTAACAGGTACTCATGACATCTTCTCTTATACTGCGATGCTCATTTGGCCTCATGATAGCGCACTGCTTTTGGTTTAGGCTCTGAAGGTTCATTTCCTCCATGCATAGGCCAGTACGCCAATATTCACTTGGTGGAAGTAAGCTGTTATTACCTTCTCTATTGTACATTTTTGAACCTTGAGTACTACAGGCCTATCTCTGCCGTAATTTGCCATGCTTCTGTTATCCACAGTGTCGCACTCTGCCATGTTGTTTCTTCCTGTATTTTGGTTTAAGCTGTATCTATGACCTGATTGATGCTGTCTGTGCATTTCTTTTATATTTTCCTGTAACATGTTGTCACTTCTAAATAAACTTTTATGGAAAAAAAAAAAAAATCCAAATAAGTGTATATTGATTGCTTTGTGTGAAAGTTATAGCATCTACAAACTATGGTATAGATAATTTGAAATTTACACAGCTTTTACTTTCTGACTGCCTATCACATTTCTTGAGGTGCTAAAATACCAGGATAGTACAAACACCCCCAAATGACCCCTTTTTGGAAATTAGACACCCTAAGCTATCTGCTGAGGGAAATATTGAGTCCATGGAAGATTTATTTTTTTTCCGCAACTTTTTGGAAAATCACATTTTTTTTTTGTTTTTTTTTACACAAAGTTGTCACGGAAATGATATATGGCTCACAAAAGCCATGGGTATATGTGGATTTACACCCTAAAATACATTCTGCTACTTCTACTTAGTATGGGGATGCCACATATGTGAGACTTTTTGGGAGCCTAGCCACATACAGGAGCCTGAAATCCAATGACCACTTTGAAAGCCTGAAGGTGCGTAACTTCTTCATTTCACTTCCTCACTACCTATCACAGTTTCGGAGGCCCTGAAATGCCAGGATAGCACCAAACCCCCCAAAATGACCCCTTTTTGGAAAGTAGACACCCCAAGGAATTTAAAAAGAGGCATGGAAAGTATTTTGCAGATCTAATTTTTTCTCACAAGGTTTTGAAATATATAAAAAAAAAAAATATGTTTTTGTTTTCTTTCTTCATTTTCCAAAAACTTGTGGCAACAAATCAGATCTGCAAAATACTCACCATGCTTCTTATCAAATTCCTTAGGGTGTCTACTTTCCAAAAATGGGTCATTTGGGGGGGGTGCTATTCTGGCATTCCATGGCCTCCAAAACTGTGATAGGTAGTCAGGAAGTGTAATGAGGAAATAAAGCCCTTTAAAAGCCTGAAGGTGCTTATTGGATTTTGGGGTCCTGTGCTTGGCTAGACTGCCAAAACATCTCTCACATGTGGTACCCCCATACTCAGGAGAAGTAGCAGAATGTATTTTGGGGAGTCATTCCACACATACCTATGGCATGTGTAAGCAATAAACGATTTAAATGACAATTTTGTGTAATTTTTTTTTTTTTCGTCATTTTCCAAAAACTTGTGGTAAAAAAATAAAAATTCTTCTATTGATTCAACATGCCTCTCAGCAAATAGTTTGGAGTGCCTACTTTCCAAAAAGGGGTCATTTTGGGGGGTGGGGGCATTTTATGCCCAGCATTAGAAGTTTATGCCACACATCACTCACTCTTCTAACCACCTGAAGACCAAGCCTGTTCTGACACTTTTTCCTCACATTTAAAAAAAATCAGTATTTTTGCTAGAAAATTAATTTGAACCCCCAAACATTATATATTTTTTTAGAGCATACACCCTAGTGAATAAAATGATGGGTGCTGCAATTTTTTTATCTCACATAGTACTCACACAACGATTTTTCAAACGCATTTTTTGAAAAATATACACTTTTTTTAATTTTAATGCACAAAAACACAATATATTGGCCAATTATTTGGTAAGATATAAAATATGATGCTATGCTGAGTAAATAGATACCAAACATGACATGCTTTAAAATTGAGCATGCTCCGTGCAATGGCGACAAACTGCATGCATTTTTAATATCTATAGGCAACGCTTTAAAAGCCTTTACAAGCTACCATTTTAGATTTACAGAGGAGGTCTAGAGCTATAATTACTGCCCTTGATCTGACTTTTCTGGTGATACCTCACATGCATGGTACAACCGCTGTTTCCATACTGGCACAGAGTCAACGCTCACGAAAGCAGGTGCGCGCATGCGCGGGGGGGTATTTTTTTTTTTGTTATTCTGATTTATTTAATTATTTTTACACTATCCCTTTAATTTTTTTTTTTTATCATTTTTAATGCT